GCTTCCATGGTCCAGAACCAAGGGCACAGAAAAGAACCGGGTAGCTGAGGAGCTGGGCTGAGCCGTGGGAGAACCCGTCAGCCTTAGGGACAAGCAGGGACGGGCGGCAGCCCTCTGAGGGAGGAGAAGGCTTGGGACAATAAAAAGAGCACTGAACGGTGAGAAGTCCCAGCCTGCCCCACACCTCTGCATCTAACGCCCCACACCTCTCCATCCAACTCGCAAGTCCCTCCCCTTCTCTGGGCCTCAGCCTCCCTATCCATTAGATGGCAAGGCTGGATGAGGTCCCTAGTCACACGTCACCGGTGACACGGTGTTAGATGGTTTTTTAGATGGTTCACTGATGAATATTCTTAATTTCACTTTTAAATGGTTGCATATCTAATGTGTATTAGAAAAATATATCAAACCTATGATTTCAAAGATAGTGCTTAGGATGAGGCAGACAGAATGAGCTACTTAATTCTTTAAAAGTGAATCGATTTAAAGAAATGATTTGGTTAAAATGGAAACGTGGTAGTAGTTAGCATAGGTGATAAAATTTCATAGAACCGTAGACACACCAAACACACGAGTGCAAGTAAAACGAGATGCAATCCAAGCCAGGCTGGAGTCTAGTGAACAGCCTTGCACAGGCGTCAGTGTCCTGGTTTTGACAGAGTACTACACTCATGTTACATGTTATGACTAGGGGAAGCTGGGGGAAGTGTACATCAGAACTTCATACTATTTTTGGAAATTCCTGTGTAAAAAGTATAAAACGTGGAAATGGTAAAAACCGTGGAGGGAGCGCACAGTTGACTAAAGGCTGGAAATACTGAACTAAAAAGCTTTCTGGGGCTGCTTCTTCCAACAGTCACAATGAGCTACACCGGCTTCTCCAGAGCGGACGACAGTGCCCCCAGGAGCCCCTAGGAGCCCCGGCCCCCATCCTGCCCGCCACCCATTTACTTAGACTGACCACTCAATTTTAAAAACCTCTCTCTCTCTTTTCCTGTCACTTAACACTGTCCAAAAGCAGCGTCTACTTGCTGGAGAGATGATGCCTCTGGGGACCCGGCAGACCCGGAAGACTAGACAAATGCTCTGGGAACTGGGCTCCGGGTTCCCCTTGGCCCTCGAACACCTGAGTGGCTGGACAGCTCCTGAAGGCTTTTACCTCCGAGAGGTGCAGAAGGGACACCTGCAGCACACGCTGGGGCAGGGTTCTGCCTTAGGTCACACAGGGACTGGGGCCCAGTTAGGTCAGGAACCCAGGAGAGCTTAGCAGACGCCTGAGGAGGAAGGGCCAGGTGGGAAGCGCTGCTGCCCAAACACAGGGCTGCTGTCCCAAGAGGCAGGCATCTCAGAGGATGGGGATGCCACTTTGAACTCGGACGCTCCCCAGCTCGGATGCTTCCCAGCAGTGCAGACAGGCGGGACGCTCAGAGCCCCTTGGAGACCACCTCTTACCACCCGGCATTTCGCAGGTGGGGCAACTGGGAACAGTTAGGGACTTGCTCCAGGCCCGGCCGCCGGCTGGTGCGGAGCGAGAACCAAATCCCGGTCAAGGGGGCCTGCCCCTTTCCTCCGCCCTGGGTCCACGGGACAGGGACAGGGTATGTCTTCAGGTCGAGGGACAGGAGTCCGACGCCCCAAGTTAGACAACCTCGTGGGTAACAAACGAGGCCCCCCAGCGGCGAAGTCGCCAGCGCGCACCGATACCGCGACGCAGGGGCCCCGGCCGCCGCCCAGGGTCGCGACAGGGCGGGACGGCCCGGGTCACCTGCATCATCTCGAAGATATGGTTGGCCTCCCCGTACTGGGGCATTTCCGGGGGGATGCGGTGCGGGGCGGTGGTCGCGTCCATGCTCCCGAGCCGCGCGCCGCTCCCTGGTGACCGCCGTCGCTAAGGCTGCGGCTCCTGGACGTCATCAGCACGCGCCGCCCCTGGCGACTGCGGTCGCTAGGGGCGCCACGGCCTGA